CTTTTATTACTGAAATGCTGGAAACTGTTTACAAGAATAATATTTCGTCACAGCTTCACTGCAGCAAGTGGAAAAAAGAACTAAATCACGTGAAGTGGGACATTATTATAGTATTTAATGAATATTTATTATATGATTTTTTTGCAATTTTTTATTTTTTTATTTTTTATTGTATTAATAATATTTCTTATATACATTTTATATTAGGGTTTGCACAACTAATCAGTGTTATTGCAGTTACAGTGTTATTTTAGTATCATTGAGATACTATTATAATTTTATTAGTATTTGTAATTAATTTTATTTTTATATTTTCTGTTTTCACTTTAATTTGAGTAATTTTGTGTGCTTTTGTCATGTCTGTTAGTTGTTTTGTCTATATTTTTATTAAATGTATTTCATCTTTAGTTATTTAAGTACTTAAAGTGAAACTAATTGAAAATAAGAAATACTGCTTTGACAAATAGCTGAAATAAAATGTTAAATTTTTTGTACATTTTATTTTATTTCAGTTAACACTTATTTTGTTTCAAGTAGTGAAAATGTTTTTTATGGTTGTAGTTTTAGTTAATGACAATAACCCTGACTAGTTGACCAAGTAGTTGAGTCATAAGTTTACCTTATGTAAATAATAGTTTGCGCTAACTTATGTAATTTCCACATTTTTAAAATGACATTTTGAGAGATAAAATGCAAAACAGAAAACCATTTAAACTGTAAATACGATATTTAAATAAATAATAAATAGGATAGTATTTCCTATTATTAAATGTAATATGAACTTGTTATTATTTATCTAAGCAATAACAGAAATTGTGTTTACTGCTGCTCCACCATGAATTAAACGCCGAATGCATGAGTTTTATCCATGCAATTTTATTTTTACAGACGTCCCCATGAGAAATTACCATTCAACTATAGGGCTAAATTCTTCAAGTGTTGTGGCAAGGTCCAAAATAAATACTGGCCATCTGAACAACTTTTTGAGCAATTGCAAAATAATACATGGTTTAAATTTCAGTCTGCTCCTCACAAAAAAAAAACTGGCGTTAGATGTCTTGAAATATAGCGCATTAGTAGTGTGAACTACTTTTATGGTGTTTCGCCAGGTTTGTAGTTTGACAACACGTGGTCACCATTTGCTTATTAAATGGAAAAGCTCAATTCAGAGACTGAAAATATATTTACACCTCTATACAGATATATTTTGTGTTCCACTGAAGGTTTGGAACAGCACAAGATGAGTAAATGGTGAGAAATCAATTTTGGGGTGAACCGTTCCTTTAAACGATCTTCCGTGTTGCGGTAACGTTCTGGATAATCTCTGACTAAATGATCTAACATGAGAGCGTTTGGTTGTTTTGTCCTTGAGATATCAGTGCATTGACTTCCTGCGATGACCTCTCCATTGTTTTCAGTCTGGAGTCAAAGGTCATCTTTTATGAGGCCCGCTAACACGTCCAGGCCTGCTGAACCGCTCATCTTTCGCAGGCTTTGTGATCAGCGAAGGCATGTGCTGAAGTCGTGCTATGGTCGAAGTCCGTAATCCGAACCGTGGACTCTTGAAAACACACACCCCGGCCCCATTCCTCACAGCGATGTGGGTTAGCTGCTAAAATTAGCGTTTTACGGTGTCTTTGGTCCTTTTGATGGAAATAGTCTCTGTAATTTGTGTTGGAAAAGAGACTTGTGTTACTAAATAAACAGATTAGTTCCATTCTTTTCTTTAGACTTGCTCATCCCAGTGAAAGTTAAAACCGGCGATCTTCTCCTGTTGGATAAACCTCTTCTTTCGTTTTTTTTTTTAAATAGAAATTCATGCTTTTATTCAGCAAGGATGCATTAATTTGATCAAAAAAGTGACAGCAAAGTCATTTCTAATGTTACAAAATATTCTATTTCAACTAAATGTTGTTCTTTTGAACTTTGTATTTATCAAAGAATCCTGAAAAAAAAAGTATTATTTTCAATTCCAACGTTATTATCTTTTGATACAAGAAACAAATATAGGTGCACTAATTAATAATACAATTGATATATTTTCACTAATAAGGACAACACTATTATATTAAATTAAATGCAAGTCATATAAGTCATATTAACCCACTGTATCGTATTATTTTCAATTCCAACGTTATTTATTATCTTTTGATACAAGAAACAAATATAGGTGCACTAATTAATAATACAATTGATATATTTTCACTAATAAGGACAACACTATTATATTAAATTAAATGCAAGTCATATAAGTCATATTAACCCACTGTATCTCAAATAAAAGCCTACCTCAAAGCAATAATTTTACTGCTGTAGTGTCTAATAATGTTGCTTAAGATATTTTTTTGTATATGGTTCAAATTCTTTTAGATGTCAGGCATCATATGCATTCAAAAAGCAAAAGTCTATTTCTATTTTTGCAGAGGACTAGCAACTATTCTAGTGGTAACTAGATTTTAATTTTTTTAATATATATTTTACTCAAATACATTAATCAGCTGATGAGTCAAGAACAGTCTTTAACCAAACTTTGATGAAATGATACAAGATATTATTAAAAGAATAACTCAATGAGATCAAGTGGAGATAATATTCATTGCAACACATTATTAAATGTGCAACACTAATCATTTTTAAATGTAGTTTTACATTTAAATATGTTCATTTTCTAACAGAAAAGTGTCAACACAGACAAACAAGGTTAACAATGTTAAAATTGCCCCCGATGTTGCAGCCATGATTAAACAGCGATGCCTATATTAGCATAGGTTGTTCATGTTCATTTTTTATCAATAACCTAGGGATAAAATGTATGTACG